TATTTATATGTATTATATCTTATATTATATTATTATTTTATCTTATTGTATTTATCATCATATATTACATATGTTCTATACATGATGCATAGATGGCGTTCATGTGAACATATGCCTATATGTCTGGGCCGTCTGACCACCCCATTTGATTGGCTATGACGTGCACACAACAGCAAGTTCGCCAGAGGGGAATCCCCAGACAGTTCCCCCAACTAGAGCCTCGTCAGAGGATGGGGGCGGGTGGCAGGTCTGGTATCTTGCCCAATAGAGCGGTGTTGGTGTACGCGCACAGAGTGGCCGTCAGATGCGCGTGAAGCGCGCTCACGTGATCGCGCCGACGGACCTGTCCTCCTCACACTGCGCATGCGCATGTTGGTCCACGCATGCGCAGTCATGACCATGCCATACTAGCGTGCGTTCCACACACAGGGTAAACCTGCAGCTATAGAGGGAAGCTTAAGATCTCCCTCTGCTGCTGACCATACATTATTACGGATCCAAGAGTACTGATCCAATCCTCTCCATCATCCGATCATGAAGCACATGCAGCTGCCTGGTAGCACACATCACACAGCTTCTGGTTGAAGGTTTGTGTGTGGGTTTATATGTCTACATATATATACATGTGTTTATGTCACTATGGACACCTATCCATTAAGACATCCATTGACTAACAATTTATGTCTATTTTTACATTAATTGCTATATACTCATCCAGCATCATGACAAGCCCTCTGGATGAATTGTCCATTTGATACATCGCTCACTAATGAATCATGGAATAAGACTAACTATTTACTATATATTATGTTTCATCATTTATTATCATTCCCATTGGTGTTCATCGCTAAGTTGATATATTACATGCATACTAAGTGGTGTATGCAAAATGTGGTTTTTTTATATATTTTTTATCTTATATTCATTTTTCGTTTGTCTATATCATTTCTCTCTGATGGCATTACAATAGTGATTGTCTGTTGACGATATCTTGGCCCCTCCTACTAACCTGAGACTGCCCAACCCAGTTGGTGGGGAGTGTTGATTGGGGGCCTTGTTTAGGTTCAGTCCAGGAGTATATATAGGAGAGAGCACTCACAGTTCAGTTAGCTCTGTGGGGGAAGAAATGGTTAGCACCCCCTTCGACGGTAACGCGTGCAGCTGTACTGAACACCCACTCCCCTGATGGGACTCATGTTAGCTTATGAATGTGAGTTAGAGGAGTCTTGAGGGTTGTGAGGTACACTTACATGGCTGATTTTGGCACACCTTGATATTCGCTGTTTGTGAGTATATTTTTTACAATTAATAAATTTTGTGGTTGACAAAACTGAGGTAATGTAAATTCGCAAGGTTGGTGCGCTTCTCGTTTTCATTTCATTCTGCAGTGTTGATTGGGCTTCCCCAGCCTTGTTTTGGAGCCGCACAGCCCTTTATGCATTGGTGGACGATCCCTCCAGGCCTGGTTCCATCTGTTCGCCACCTGTCTGAGCCCTAGAGCGCATCTCAAGGTTACAAAGGAGAAGAAGTTTTTGTTTTTGATCTACTGTGGTACAAAACATTCAGGCTGTGGAGGCTCAGGGAATCAGTGTGTGGGAAACGCTGTGGGGCAGGAGGCACAGTGGCATAAAAATGGTTTAGCACTTGAGTCCGCTTCTGGCAGAGTACTAGGGTTGTTTCTACTGTTTTGAAGGCCTACAGCCACGGTACCTACCTGCCTGGAGTTTGCATGTTGCCTCCCTGTGACTGTGTGGGTTTCCTTTGGGTACTCCGGTTTCCTCCCACACTGACCCCAAACATACGACATGCTCAGGTAGGTTAATTGGATCCTGTTCTAAGTGGTCCAGCAGTGAGCCCAGATGTGTATGTATGAATGTGAGTTAGAGGGACCTTAGATTGTACACCCCTTGAGGGTTAGGGATGACTGATTTCATGAATGTACAATATATATATATATATAAAGCACTGCGTAAATTGACAGCGCTATTTAAGTACCTGAAAATAAATAAACACATCTGCCCAACCCCCTCATAAACAAAGTAAACTAGCATCAGAAATGTTTTTGTGCATACATATAATGTATAGGGAAAGTCCTCACTAAGCAGAGTGCATGCGCATTTGCACATGCTTTATGGAATACTTTGAGGAGTCTATTTATAAAAAAAAATGTACTGTGCAAATGTTCTATCATTTGCACGAAAGTCATAGATAATCCGCAAAATATTTGTAATATGTATGAAATTTGTCAAGCAAATAGAAAAGGCAAATACCGTATTTTTCGCTCCATAAGACGCACTTTTTTTCCCCCAAAAAAGGGGGGAAAATGTCAGTGCGTCTTATGGAGCGAATATAGAGCGGCCGGTCCGGTATTTCCACCGCCGCCGTGTCAGAATAACAGGGCCGGCCGCTCAGCTCTGCAGTGGGACCTTACCTGTCCCTCTATCCAGCGGCGCGCTGTCTTCCCGGCTTCTGTAGTGTGCGTGACAGCCGGGTGCCAAGTGCACATGCGCAAGAAGCGGTGCTCTTTTTGAATGGTAAGGCGGTACCTGGGACACATGACAGATCCCAGAAGCCGCCGGACCAATCACAAAGCGCAGCGCTTCTCGCGCATGCGCACTGGGCATCCGGCTGTCCGACGAGCGCCCACACTACAGAAGCCGGGAAGACAGCGCGCAGCTGGATCAAGGAACAGGTAAGATAAAAAAAAAACTCTGCGGAAGTAAGAGCGGGTACCTGTCAAATTCAGGTACCCGCTCCCCCTCCCTCCCCAAAGGTCAGCAGTCAGCAGTCACTGTCCCAGTGTACTGTCCGCAGTCTGTCCGCTGGTCATCCCTGTACTGTCCGCAGTCTCTGGTCATCCCTGTACTGTCCGCAGTCTCTGGTCATCCCTGTGCTGTCCGCAGTCTCTTGGTCATCCCCTGTACTGTCCGCAGTCTCTGGTCATCCCCTGTACTGTCCGCAGTCTCTGGTCATCCCTGTACTGTCCGCAGTCTCTGGTCTCTGGTCATCTCCTCTACTATGTCTGCAGTCCATTAGTTCAGAATTTTTTTTTTCCTGTTTTCTGCCTCTAAAACCTAGGGTGCGTCTTATGGTCAGGTGCGTCTTATGGAGCGAAAAATACGGTATGTCAATTTCTATTTGTTGCCTTTTGCAGGGTGAATGTAACAATCTCTAACATTTGATCCTAAGAGAAAATAGCCTTTAAAGTGTAATTTCACCTTTTTCACAGAAAATTAAATGGTGAACAAATACCGTACACCCTTCCCACCCCCAGTCCCTTCTGCACTCACCTCCATAGGTGATTAATTGTCAGGGTCCATGCATCCGGTGTAGCAGTCCAGGGATTTGAAAGCACCACACTTTTTTCCCTGTCTTTCCTTAGGGCTTTCGGGATGGATCAAAGCAATTCTGATCTGACCAATCAGGATCGCTCTGATCGTTCCTGGAAGCCGAAATTCCTGGACCACTACACCGGCTGCTTGGGCAGTGACGGCTTATCACTTGTGGAGGTAAGTGAACCAGGGACCAGGGGTGGTGGGGAAAAGGTGAACTTACACTTTTAGAACATTTGACTAGAGGAGGTAAAAAAAAAAAACGTTTGACCAACAGAGAAAATAAGCCGACACTATAGGCTAAGAACATTCGACCAAAAGAGGAAATAGTATGAGGGCGACCTTTGCTATGTGTATTCCTGTGCTCACCACTGACAATGTAATGAATCAGCAACTGCAGAGGGAACTGCATAACTGGATGGATCCAATGTTGCAGAGATGGCGCTCCGGTCAGGGTCAGGGGTAGGCAACCTCAGCACTCTAGTTGCTGTGAAAATGCAAATCGTATGAGGCATTGGAAGACTTTGTCAGCTAAAGGCATAACTCATGTGACAAAGGCATACCATGATTTGTATTTTCTCTAAAGCTGGAGTGCCAAGGTTGCCTATCTCTGCCTTAAGCGATCGGTGAATAGTTTCAGTCCAGTAAAGTTGTAAAAACGACCAGGGGAGGACTGACCATTTGGAAACTCGGGCACTGCCCAAGGGCCCGGGGGGGTGAGTAGGGGGCCCCATGAGATGCCCCTGGTACCTTTTTCATAGGCTTTTTTGAGTTTGGGCAAGGACACAGGGGCCCCATGATCCCCTATTGCCCGGGGGCCCCATGAGTTGTCAGTCCACCCCTGAAAACAACGTTTCTTCTCTGCAGCATTGTAGTAGTTCACTCTCTGCAGTAGCTTATTCATTTCACGTAAATAGCTAGTGGTCATATGTGGTATTTTCCCAATTCACTCTTCTTATGCTAAAAAAAATCTGAATAATATATTTAAAAAATATATACATTTTTAAAAATATATTTTTTCAAATATATTCTTCAGATTTTTTTTAACATATAAAAAAGTCATTTTAACATATATTCTTACATATATTTGTAAATGCATTCCAAAAATGTAGAATTGTTATTTTTAAGACATACAGTATATTTAAAATGTATATTTAAAAATATTTTCATAGATTTTGTAATATAAACGCATTTCAACATGCAGTGTGTATGCATATATATATATATATATATATATATATATATATATATAAAAATATATTTTGAAATATATTGAATATGGCCAGAATTGTAGTATTTCAAATATATGGCAATATACTTGGGAAGAATATTTTTAAAATAAAATTTCAAATATATTTTTCTTCCATGTGGGTTTGTACTGCAAATTTTTTTATAAACAGACCCCTAAGTATGTTGGTGCAATGCAGTGTCAAATAATTCCAATCTGGGCATCCCAACCCACAGAGTCAACATACTGGCCTGCGTTGCGTTGTGCTGCCATCAGATGTTGCATGCAGCATTTTTGGCAGTGCACTGTACATCTGTGTTTTGACTGTGCACACACACCAATTTTCTCAGCAGCTCACTGAAAACACGCATTCCTTGGTAAAAAAGTACATTGGGGTGCTAATCAAAAAAAATGACATCACAATGCCCCAACACACATAATGTGCATTGTGGTAAAGTGCACATATTACCGATATGACATGGTGTGAAGGGCCCTTAGTGTAATACTTTCAGGTATTTATTACCTCTTACAGAATGCAGTAGGAATGGTGAGATCCCCTCATAATCAGCACATGAGGTATGCAGACCCAGGAAGCTCAAATATCTCACCAATGTAGACCCTGAAAGCCACCTATAGACACAAACTTGCTGTACCTAATGGTAAATGGCCCAGGTCTTAACTCTGAATTCTGCATCGGAACTCCAGAGTAAATGTGTGCATTGAAACAAAAAACTTTTTTTTTTTTTTTTTTAAAGGAACTGGATTTCCACTTTAGCTCTCTAGCATCTACCAAACAAATTTTGTTTAGGCTGATCCTTTTAATTTCCAACCCCAGCCAAAATTGTTTCTTCTTTGGAAGGGTAGAGTGGGAAAGGGTTTAATCATCCAGTGAACATTCCGCATCCTCATCCTATTTTCATCAATACCCCTCCTGATTCTAAGAGAAGTCTTTTTTTCACACGCTAGGTTATTTTTGTAAAAGTAAAAATATACTGCTCCCATAATGGTTAAACTCGACTTACTTGTAAAACTAAATTCTTTGAAGGTTTTGCAGAAGATAATGAAATCCTTTTCACTGACTAATGTGAAAATGTTCTGTCGATGAGATTACGAAGTACAAAGCACTGGAATCTCCGTAGATCCACCTTTTCATGTGTACTATAAAGAAGAAAATGCTAGCTCTTACCTAGCGCCCTTTGTTAAGAAACCACAACCTTTTCCTTCAATGCAGAAATGTAGAAAGATGTCTTCAAACATTTCTTCAATGTTTAACACCAAATTCCAGCTTTCTCTTGAATCTTGCATGGTTGTACAGACTCTTCTCCTGTACTGAAATTGCCTTTTCTGATTTCACTGCACGCTGTGAGCTCCTCACAGCAATATCCCAGGCAAGGTCAGGTAGCAACATAACAGTCCCAACCAGGGGCGGACTGACCATTTAGAAACCCGGGCACTGTCCGAGGGCCCGGGGTCAGTAGGGGGCCCCATGAGATACCCCTGGTACCTTTTTCATAGGCTTTTTTGAGTTTGGGCAAGGACACAGGGGCCCCATGATCCCCATGGGTTGTCAGTCCGCCCCTGGTCCCAACCCTTGGCTGTGACTTCTTGCTCTACTGGTACTGTAACTCCATTTGTGCATGCATGGAAATTCAGACAGTGGGTTGGTGTTCTTTTTTCCAGCTCTTCAACTGTCCAGGTGCCAAGCCAACGGTTGTGGGATTGCTCTGTTGACGTCTACATAGTTGAAAAGCCAGAGAAAAGGAAAGGCAGCTCGCTAGCAGAGACACCACAATTTGCATGTGCAAATGACTCCAGCAGCTATAGGGTCTGATTTTGGTCAGGAGTATACATTCCTAATACAAAAGCTTGAATGTATATCACCCTAAGATATCTGTCTTCATTGATTCTGCTTTGCTCAGACATTGGTCTTGCAAAGTCAAGTCTGTGAGTTGCTTACTCCTGAACATTACTTACACCTGACCTTTGCACTCTGTGCGTTATGTGTTTCTGACCTTTACGCTCTGTGTATTACTTACTCCTGACCTCTGCACTACCCTACTTACACTTCCCCTTTTGCTCTTGGACAATCAACATCTGCCTTGGCATATTTATTGGTGTTTGGATCAAGATGAGTTACCCATGTGCCTCTAAATTCTGCGGTGTGTGTTTCTGATATTCATTAGAACTGAGGAGGCAACTTGAATGAGTGGGTAAAACATCTTTAGTATTACAGATGATCGACTTCTGCTGAGCAGGGATGACCTGCTCAAAATTTGGCAGGTCCCTGCTGAACTATGGCCAGCATTACCCATGTGGCCATAAATGCTGGGTACGTTCTTGACATTTCTAGAACTGAGGAAGCAATTCGGTTGAGTGGTGAAACATCTTCAGAATTACAGAATTACAAGTTCAGCTGAATGTGACTACTTACTGCTAGGTGACTACTGCTGCCCAGATAAATGTGAACCTCCACAGACACTTGTGAGCATCAGAAAATTACTATGCATTTTTCATAGGGGTCTTGAAGACTTTCAAGCATTAAATATCACCTAAAACTCCAAATATACCAAATTTCCCAACATGGAACATTGATCATTCCCAAAATTGAGCCAAAGCATAGGAAGCTTTTCATTACTGCAACAGATTTTATTGTCCCTATCGTGCCTTTTTTTGGCTACTAGCCAAGCCAGTGTGACAGGACAGTACATTACACCCTAATCACCTCTATTACCACTACAGACAGAAACTACTCTTCTCCGAGATAACGAGACTTTCCTAATTATCCTTTAATTGGTTATTCAGGTTGCAAGTTCCCAATAATTAATGTGCCGTTGTGACAAAACTGTACCATTTCCTCCTTATTTCTTCTTAACTTTTGCAGCAGTGATGTGTAAGCTTAATTCATATTAATTAGCACATGCAAATTTGTGGCTAGGTGAAAATAAATAATGTACAATTTTCACCAAATGCCATGAAAATTGAGAATGATTAATAGTATGAATTTTAAGTGCAAGAAAATATGAAAGACTTGAGCAGCATATACATTGATAATTTTTTTTGTTCAACCAAATGTGCCTTTTGGCTGGTTGGTACACCCCATCAGGGATAAACAAACGGCCCTTAGCTTGAGATGTTGATGGGAAGTCTAGACTCCCTCAACAACTGTGTACCTTGGATAGTTTCCATTCCTAGCTATGCTCCATAGCCTGACAGGCTGACATACAGTATGTCATGAGAACTTTCCAGGTTAATGTGAGAAAGGATTTCCCCGATTCCAGTGCAGTGCTGGTCAGTCACCAGATCAGTGATATACTGGTCTGGGCCAGTCCAGAGACAGAAGAAATTTGTCTCATGTGGTCAGCACATTGAACTGTAAAGGCCTGGAGTGAAACTGGGCAAACATCATTTCCTTGAAGAAGGCCACCATGGTACTCTCATGCAAAATCAGACCAAATCAAAGGGTCTGGACATGAGCATGGATGGTCAACACCTATTCCAGGGGAATAAAAACCCTGGCCTGGGCTGTTTCCAAATCTAGGCTCAGGTCCTGCAAGTGTTAGGTCAAATCCAGTGCAGACTTTTGGAGGTTGAGGATCTATCTGAAGCTCTGAACTGGGTGTATCATCAGCCAGACATTGGCTGCAAGGATGTGGGTGGAGAGCTCCTTCAAGAGAAGTTCATCCAGATATCCAATAATATGGATTCCTTGAGAACACAACAGTCGAAGGATCAGGGCAAGCACCTTGGTCAAGACTCAAGGGGCCGCAGACAGGCCAAAAAGAAGAGCAACAAACTGGAAGAGTTGTTTACCCACCACAAATTTCAGGAACTGCTATTGCAGGGGAAAAATAGGAACATGCAAATAGGCATTCTTGATGACTATCAGCGCTAGAAATTCCTATTGTTGCAGCAATGCATTTACAGACCAGGATAATTACATCTGGAACTTCTGGACCTGCAGGAAGGTGTTGAGATCCTTCAGATCTAGGATAGGATGGAGGCCCCTGTTTGACTTCAGGACTCTTTAACAGGTTTTAATAAAAGTTCTGAAATTGTTCCTCTGAGGGAACGAAAAAGATCACTCCACAAGAATGAAGGTACTGCATCGATCTCAGTACTGGAAGTCAGTGGGTGCTGATAAGTGGTCAGCTGACTTTAACGTGCTACCCAATCAACTAGCACTCAAAGAGTGATGTAGTGACTATAGTCTGAGAATGGTGGCCGATCAGTATAAGACAGCAACAACATCAATGACATATGACATATGCATCAAAAATCTAATGTATAGAGATACGTAGCCAGAGTGGGGCCAGGCTTCAGCAATGTAGGCATATGGAAGTCCATGTGAAGCAACAGAGCATCAATGGAGGTTATATACCCCGGTTCATATGGGGTGGTGGGCTGACATGATAGAGTACTGATGATAGATAGGGCAGGCTGACAGAGCCCACAACCTGGGCATGGTAGTCAATGGGGAGCTATATGATGTTTACACCAGTGTGTCCAGATGCAGCCAATGCCCTAAGCATATATCACTGTGAGTAATATGCAGTCAATAAAACACCAGTGTGGTAATTAGCAATCTTCTGTAGGGTATGAGTAAAGTACGACCCTTACAATATAGTGGAGCCAATGACCATATGATCTGGTCTGGTAGTAAAGATTTGCACAAGTAGTGATGGCTGCTGCATAAAGTGTGCCCGCAGGCTCTCACCACTCTGGCGTATAAATCGACAACTCCTCAGTGATGTCCAGTCCTCCACTTAGGGGATATGAAAAATTTGAATAAAGTTATAATACTTCTACCGGTCTGTGCCTTCCATTAACAATCACCGTTTACAAGCTGAAACTCGGAAAGTTTTGTGTTGACAACCGATGGCACTATTGGGAGATCCATATGTAGTTAGTGAGCGGGGATTTCTGCCATGTGGATTTCTAGTGTCGGGTGGCTGAGGACATTAAAGCTAGTGGGGGCAGGGGCCCGTAGCTCATTGACGCTGTCTACATCAACACGTTTCGCCCATGTGACTGTGAGCTTCGTCAGAACCTCAGGAAGTGCACACCACCAGCCTATTAAAGGGATTGACGGCCCTTTCAACCAATTAGAGTGGCCGGGGGCAGTCCCATATTTAAAAGAACAGCGGTCATAAAATATACAAATTGGTGTAAAAAAGGAAAGGCAAACTAAGTGACATATGGATTCTTGCTTATCTCTCAAAAATATCTACGTGTCCTCAATTTAGGTGACAACATATTACCCATGGTCTTTATTATTTGAAGCCTGTGTTCTGTACAGTACAATTAAAGTAGAAACATACGCACTTTGAATCCAATGATGCGTCATCTCCGGAATTCCCCACCTGTATCTGACATTTTCCAGCATCTGGCTTCCGGGTCTCGATGCCGCTGTCATTGGCCGGACTGAGATGACATCGCTCCTGTGCATGCGCGAGAGTTCTGTCAGATTCGACATTACCAAAT